CAGCATGTAAAGTGTTAAAGCAGTTCCAGCATTTGGCCCATTTGCCAGTAAATCACTCCAGCCTGGTACTACATATACTTATCATTCCACACAACCTACTCTGACAATTTGATCCAACCCCAAAAACACTAAAGAGTGGAGGTGCCCTCAAGAGGACTCTAGTCCTACCTTCTGCTCAAAGCGGGGTCAACGCCAAATTCAAACCAAGTTTCGGGTTCTGTCATGTTAAATCCTGAGAGCCTCCCAGGATAAAGACTGCACAGCCCCTCTTGGTCCACTCCCATGCTTGACTGTCCCCCCAGAGCAAACTTCTTCCATTAACTGAGAACTTCACACTCCAATTTAAGGAACACCTTTCTTGCTCGGTGCTTCTCAGTCAAGACCCTGAAACCATCTTCTCCTCAGCAACCTCCTCTTTGATACCAAAAGGCTGCTGTTCAAGCCCATTTTCCCCCCACGGGCCGCTCTGCCAGGCTGACTGAGCTCATTTTGCTTAGCTTCTCCTCACAGGTCCTGTACCCCGAGTCTCTTAACCACCTTGGCACTTGCACAAGGTGATGAACATCTTGAGCCCTGAACTGGACAGTTCCAAATGGGAACAAATGCCAAGCAAAATGAGGAAAAAACACCTGCTTCCCTCCACCTATTGGCTATGCTCCTGTTAACACAGCCCAGCACGCTGTCAGCCTTCACTGCTGCCACGGCACACTGCTCATGCCTTCAGCTAAGCATTTTGGACCACCAGGTACAAGATTACGTTTATGCTTGTTGACAACAGAACTACACATTAATTTTTTTGCTGAACCAGGGACCTGAATGGGACAGGTTGGGTTTTTTTTTTTTCTTCCTTAAGGTTACAACAACAAAAGAAAACAAGGCAGGCGTTTGAAGCATTGATATACCACAGCAATTCTTGCCTTAATACAGTTTATCATCTCATTTATTATTGCCAAAAGGACTCTATGGTGCATTAAAAAATCTCAACCTAATACAACCAAGACTTAATGCTAAGACCGACAGCTAAGAGTTTGCCACTTTGTTTTAGGTTTGAGTTCAAAGAAGAAGGTGCCTTCCAGATCACTCGGAGGAGAACTGCTAAGGCTTTCTTCTCCGCTGCTCATATCTTCACAAGAGTCTTCACTAGAAGGAACAGCAGGAAAGGTAGTTTAAAAAAAAGGCAAAAAAGCACAACCCCTTGAAAGTGGCAAAATACTCCTCAACCCTGTGTTTTCTTGCATGCTTTTCTGTTCCTAGGATAACATCCCAGATCTAAATGCTTCTCAGCTCTAAGGCTTAAATCATCACAAGGTACAATTTCCTTTCTTCTAATGCCAAAAATCTCCTACTAACCAAGAAGCCAGTATTAGAGATATCAAATACACATTACTTCAGAAGGCTTAAATGCTTTATAAGCCTCCCCACCTTAAAAAAAATGAATGCCTCCCACCACCCTGCAAAGCACTTGTACTTTTTGAGCACCACAAGGACCATTCCCTATTTTTCTCTTCTGTTTAAGATGTATTTTAAACCCATCAGTATTTTCAAAGCTAGCAACTTTTTTTCCCCAAGCAGCAGTGAATAAGCCTAGTTATACAGAGTTGCCATTAACATTTCCAGAAAATGAGAATTCCCAAATTAACTACCTCTGGAATTTACCAACCTCTCGCTTTCATTGAAACATCCACCCTCCGGTATCGTTGGCAACTCGGGAACACTGTAGTAACTGTTCTGGAGATTCTGGGCTGTACGTCTCGAAACAATCCAAACTAGCTTTTTATGATCAGGCTTGCAACACTCAGGAGAAGAATAATCTGCTAGGCATTTCGAAACCAGTTCCCTCCAGTAAAGCAGGTCACTATCACTTATCTGAAAAGCATAAAAGGAACTTATTTAGTCTGTTACACACAGGCTCTAAAGATAACCCCTCCCTCCATTTTGCCTTCTCAGAAAAGACTTGAAAACATAACTGTTAAGGTATGAGTCATAACTGTGATACCCTTCTCAAAGTCAGGCTGCTTTTGAAGGTAAACTCCTATACACCTCCTAGAAATGTCCACATTGAAGTTTAAGTTGACAGTTTGCCTGTCAGCTGCTCTTAACATTTTCATTATCACTTCCAAAGGAAAAATGAAACCAAGATTATTCCATTTTAAAATGGAATAATCTCATACTTTAAGGAACTACTTCCACCCTTCAAGAAAACAGGTTAGTTCAGCTTGACTATGAGAGTGAAAAGCTTGTTCTAGACCATCAACTGACACAGCATGCAGCTAGAAGCTCTAAGGCTTACGTTAGCTATTCAGGCAGAAGGAATAACCAGCCCAGCAGTCATTGTCAGCCTATGAACCAACTGGAAGTTTCTCTAGAACACACAGCTAGAACCGTACCAGTTAAACCAGCTGCTTGTTCAAGTGTGTATTGTATAGGCATAGGGTCAGCATTTCTTCCAATTTTATACATTTAAGCTGTTTTTTTAAAGCCATAATGGTTTTTTTTTTTGCCAGGCAGCTGCCAAGGCGCACCAGTGCAAAATGACTACCCAACCTCAGTCTCTAAGCAGCAGGTTTTTTGCATTTGGCATTCTACCAACAAAACCATGTTGCTTACAAGGGGTGCAGGCAGATGCTTTAAGACCCATTTCATTGCTTATTTCAGCTGATGCCAAACAGTACCTGTAAAAACTGCACACTGACAGCAGGGGTCCCTTAAACACAACATTGTACATCGTTAACCACACCAGTCCCAACAACTGCAAAAACAATCCACAGAAACTGTTTACCTTAGAATGCTTTTGAACACGCAGAAGGATCTCAAACAGCTCAACAGATTTCAAAGTCTGAACTTCGAGAGTGAGAAGGCACAAGGCCAAGACAGATGGCTAGAAGGACAGAAAAACACCGCTCAACATAACACGAATCAACACCTACTGAGAAGCCGAAGAAAGCTACTTCTACTTACTTTTGCTTTAGAGAAGACTAGACGACAGTTGCAAGCTTTTAGCTGTGCTTCCAATTTGTCGAGATTCAATACTTCTTTCCTGTAAGACACCCAAGAGAAAAGCACTGACTTGTGAGGAAGTAAGAAGTAAGGAGCTGCCTCCTCCACAGCCAATGCCATAATCATTTAAGAGGCAATTAAAGAGAAAAAGGGCTTAGACCGCCACCAACGTGCAACCCAACTCACCTTTCTGAGGTATGACAGAGTACAATAGTATGGTACAAGTGCAAGAAGGTTAAGGCAGTAGTAGCTTTAAATTCAAAGTGCAACTTTTCTGAAATGATCTTTTCCATCCGTTTCAGGTCAGACACAGTGCATTTACATTGGCTGATCCGGATGATTTCATGAGCAGATGGAATATTGCATTCTTCTTCAACTACTCGGGCAGCCAGTTGGAAACAACAAACTCCAATGCAAGATAAATGCTTCGGTTTCACCTAAAAATAAAGAGGAAGCGCTATGAATACCTCCCTCCCATTAACACCGTGCTTATCGAGCAGCAACACCAACAGCTCACCCAGCCTAGACGAGCTGTTTTGAATATTCATAGTTCAGTCAAAAGATTTACTTATCTCAACTAGACCTGATGTCAGTCAACTCATACACCTCACTAGTCATAACTAGGTTCATCACTTAAGTGTCAGTAAAACACAGCTGGCAGAGCCAATAAAGCAATATCAATCTGCTGTAGCTAAGTCAGAGGAACCAAAGTTCAACAGCTGAGCACCCTCTACTGAAATTGTTCCACATCACTACACAACAAATAAATTGCAGCAAGAACTGCAATACCCCTCTTCTCCAAGCGGCAGTGCTCACTTACCCTCATCTGAAGCCTACACAAATCCAGTCTGAGCCTGTTCTAGTCAGTCCTATCCCTCCACAACTTGTTCCTCCCTCTGCTATTCTCTCCTATGTTCCAGCATAACATTTTGTGCAACCTCAAGGACTGTCAGACCAACAAACTGATGCAACTTCAGTATTTCTACCAACTTAATAATGGGGAACTGGTTTAGGTTCAAGTTGTCTGCCATAAAGGAGCACAAACACAAAAAGAAAAACATCCAGGAAATTATGATCTGGTATTAGTTCCAGCACCAAGCTAAGTTGTAACGCAGTACCCACAAATAGGCTGTAACACAAATTGTTTTGTTCCTCCTTAATTTTCTAAATCTACCTGGCGAAGGCTAGAGACTTAAAGGAAATAAACCATGCTGCTACTTGCCTTTAGAAGTAAAAAGAACTGTACTCAACTTCAGGTTTACAAAGGAGGCCTTCAGAAGTGTTGCTAGCATAGAATGAGTCAATAGCCACAGTTACATCCTAGATCACAACCTTCCCCTTTTCGTCAGACAAGAAAGTTCACAGGAGCTCACGTTTTCACACCTGACACTACAGCAGGTCCTCAACCCCCAAAATACCTTCATAAGAGCCAAGAATCTGTCCAGAATGTTAACGGCCAAAACAAATGTTTCCGTTGCAAAACCGAAAAAGTTGGTCAGACTCCAAAGATCTTCCACCTTGGCATTCCTTTGTCTCGGACATAGAGTATTTTCATTCTATAGCAAGAGAAGCAGAGTAGGATTATTCAATGGCAGCAGTGATGACCGCAACCACTCACTCCCTAAGTCATCTTTTACTTACATCAAAGGGAAGCAATTATTTTTTTTTTCTTCAATACTTTATTTATCTTAACTTAAAAATTAGATACTTGAGACTCAAAACATACCCAAGATACAAGGATTACAGCCAGGTCCCAAGTCTCACTGGTGCAATACCCAGTACAACCCCATTACCAAGTATGCGCTCGTTATTTTAAGACAATAGCTACGAAATGCGTGAATACACAGAGATTCCTGATCTTACGGAAACAGACAAGCAAACTCAGCTTATTCTCCTCTCTGCCTGCACGTCAGTACTTAAGCCACAAAAGTTCTGCTTTCAAAACAAACAAGCAGACCGATTTCACAGACTTTTTTGTTAAATATTAAGATCCTTCCCAAAAAACTCACAAGCATCCAAAGCAATGTAAGCCTGCCCTAAACTCAGTAAGGAACTCTCCTCATTAACGTGAAAATGCTTGTGCTTAGTTTATTTTTTTGCTGTCAAGCACTGAGTGTTTCTAGGTTTATTTCCCTAGACCTTGCTAATGAAAAGCTGGTCATTTCCCCATTTGTTAACTGCCTACTTGACATCCCAGCTTTCCTACAGTGGTACAAAGCTCCCCAAATGAAAATAATACACTTCCATTGGTTTTGTGTTCACTCGAAGTTAAAATGATAAATATTAAACGCCTCAAGATTTTACTTGCCCTGTAGATCATATTTCTTTCATGATGTAGGGTATGTTAATAACTACAGATTAAGACAGAGTTAAAACAAAAGGCAAGTGGCGTTTACAGAGCAAAGAATTAACTTTTCGCAGTTAACGCACGTCTTCCTTCCAGCTCGAAGGTTTTTTTTTAAAGCACGTATTTCCTGCCCTGAGGAGGCTGCCTCCTCCCTCCGCGCCTACCCCAGCCCAGCTGCTAGGTGCCCCCCTTACCTCGGCGGCGCACTCGATGAGGCTGAGCCCCTTTTCGCGGGGCTGAAACCGCCCCTCTTGCTCCAGGTGGAGATTTAGCTGCTTGAAAAGCCACAACGCCTCGCTGCTCATCTTCTCCCCCGCCTCCGGATCCTTCACCTTGGCGGCAGACACACGTCGTCAACAGCTGGCAGCTCGCCCCC